TAAGTATCTATCATTTTGACGATAGTGGTCCTGACAGAACTTGTTATAAATGTGACTCACCTTTATCTGCATGGAGGGATGGTGTCCGCGAATATGAGCAAAGATGTTGGATGTATTGCCTGCTTTTGCAGCCACTTTGCGTCCACGTTTTTTTGCAAATTGGATCCGTCTTCAAGGACAACCCCACATTCATTTTTTTTTTAAATATCCGAAGTATTCCCATACTGCAGATTTTAACTTTTTTTTCAGCGGGGATGGAGATGAGATATTATCTCTATCTTTGTAATTTTCTCCGCTGCACGTGCGTGTAAGTAGCCAAGTGAATGCAGAGTGAAGCAGCCGAGTGGAAATAAGTTGCATATGGATTTTTTTTTTCATTCATTTTTTAAAAATTGTAGATATGCAAATGTTTACGGTATGATAACTGTGCACGTTCAAACCGTGATAAACCATCATACCGGTATATTGTTACAACTAGGGCTGGGTATCGATTCAGATGTCCCGATTCGATTTGATTTCGATTCGCAAGCTCTCGATTCGATTCTCAATTTTTTTATTACATTCAGTGAATATAGTTTTAATACAAATGCTATTGATATTTCTAAAAAATGAACAGTAAACATCAGTTTACAAATGGTGAATTAATAAAAAGAAATTAAAAACCACATGCCTGTATTTTAAACCTATCCTTTTTTTTGTATAGGGTACTTTTTTTAAACAATAATAGGGCCCTATAAAATGTTCTTAATTTTTCTGGTAATCAGATGAAGGCATAAAACATTAATTTAACTTATCCTAATCAAATGAAAATTAAAGCCTTTTATTTTTTGGCAAACAAAGTGCTGCACAACTGTTAAAATTAAAAAGAAAACAGATGTGATCCTTTAAAAATAAAGATTTATTAATATTTATTAGCAGTAGTAGCATTGATTCTTAAGACTGCTAAATAGTCATATATTCTGACAGTTTCTTAACGTTAAACTAAACTTTTATTTTGACGGGTTGCAGTGAAGATTCACGTTAATCAGATCTTGTTTTAAATGTGTGCTGAAATAAATCCCGGAAAATATCGATTTGCACTTTTGAGAATCGATATCGAATCGACGTCATTTTAAAAAACGATTAATCGAAAAAAAATGTTTTTGCCCAGCCCTAGTTACAACCCTAGCTGCGTGTGGATCGCAAGGTATTTGTGTGTGGATTGTGCAAGGCTAAAAGGGCAGAACGAAAGTAATAAATAATAAAAAAGAATCAACTCAGAAGAGATATGAGTGAATGCACACGTGTCGCCTGATTCACAAATGCACATCGTCATCGCTACATGCACAAATTATGATACTTTAATACAAAATATTACATTTGTATTCACAAATATATCTCTATTTGACCAAAACACTGCATATTCTTGCAATTCTGAATTTCACACACAAGTTGAAAGGCATTTGGTTGTGGATAGTAAGATACATTTCTGGATTTTTCTAATCGATGGGTAGATGTGCAAACATTAATGAACAGCACTGAAACTTATTAAATGATAGTTGTTTGTGTGTGGGTTGTGAAATGCTGAAAACTGCGAAAAGAAAAATCCAAATGAATCAAATAGGATTGACTCAGGAAAGACCCCAACAAATGCACGCATGCCATTTGTCCCACAAATGCACATCTTCCTTGTTGCATGCACAAATTCTGATACACTAATGCAAAAGAAAACATATGTATTCACAAACGTTTCTATCTGTACAAACCGCTGCACATTCATGTAATTCTGAATTCCACAGACATACAGTATGTTGACAGGCATTTGGTTGTGGATATTAAGATTCATTTGCAACATTTATCAAGTTCATGGACAATTGTGCATGCATTTGCTAGTAAATTTGAGACTGATTTTATACCATAGGACCAGAGTTGAAAACCATTGCGCTAATGCTTTACCAATTACCAGCTGTACATATATGAAGGGGTTAAAGGAACTTTGAAATAATATATTATTTCGAAACATGCTACACAAAAAATGACTTTATTTACCAGTTTAAGACTGTCTCTGAAATGTCTCACTTTAGCAGTGAAATTACATTGTACTCACTCAGGGTCAAAGGTCACTGCTCCATCACTGAATTCAGGTGGACGGTCCATGGATGCGTCACTCTTCACAGAAACACAGCTGGGTTCTGGAGATGCTGCTTTACGTTTCCGAACAGAAACCCTGTTCTTTCTCTGCACATTGAGACTCATTTTACTGGCAGTATTACTGAAACACACAGAACAGAAACGTACAACAATTTACATACATAATGAAAAACTTTATAAGAATATGAAAGTCATGGCAGGGCCGGAAGAGAAAATATAATGTATTGTAAATAAAATGGCTTGTCAAGAAGTTGACAAAAACGCTTTAAAAAATTCTCAAAACCTTGCACATATTCCATTAATTTTAAACAAAAAAAGTGTCCTGTGTTAATGACTAGAGCCCCGACCGATATGGATTTTTTGGGGGCCGATACCGATATTAGGGAGTAAAAAAAGACAGATACCGATATATCGGCCGATACTCTTTGTGTAGGCTATATTATAGTATAGTATAGTCAAAAGTTTGGACACACTTCCCATTTGTTTGTCCAAACTTTTGACTGGTACTGTATATAGAATACAGTATATAGCCTACATAAACAATATATATACATAAACACATTTTTTGCAACGATAACTCAAATGTGGTGATCAAACACTTATAATGATGTGACAAACATAGGCCTATGTAATGGAGGCAGGGTATTTAACAAACTTTATTATTCAAAGTGAGTCTGACATCAGTGCACTTAACAGTAAACTTCACTTCACTTATTATAAATAACTTGAATAACACAAATAGAACAAAATATGTATAACTTGAATTAAGAAATTAAACAAGGTAACTGTGTAGGGCAAGCAAGCTACTGCCAAACCAACAGGGGCAGGTTTATGCAGGAAGCACAGCTTTTCCAAATGTAAACATCTAAAATGAATAAATAATAATAATGAATAATATTTCTTTCACAAACTCTGTGATATGTATTTTCTGGTAATCCAATGAACATGCAGGACATTCGTATTTAAGTCGTCTTTTTGCAGTTTAATATTCACAGACACAGTCTATATATACACGTATATGTACTGACCTGTTTTTTATTTATTCAACAAAAATAAGACAAATTCCATGAAGTTCTGCGTTATACAGTAAATTCTGTTTTTATGACTGTATTCCGTGATTCCGTCCATGTTTTCTGCATCGTGGAAATCATAGGGCCCTACTAATGTAGCAAACGAATATGATTCAAGATTTTTATTTGTCACATACATGGTTATATAGGGAATATATGACCAGCAGTGAAATGTAAGTCAGGTCAATGTGCATGAGGGAAGAGTGCAGGACGTGAGAGATGGCATCTTCAGTAGATCTGTTGGGACGATACGCAAACTGAAGAGGGTTTAAAGTATCAGGGATGGAGGAGCAAATGTTGTTTTTTATAAGTTTCTCAAAGACCTTCATGAAAGATAAGCTCATTGTGAGAGTAAAAGATGAGGGCATTGATGTTTATTTACTTAGCACTGAGTCTCTACAACTAGGTGACAACATATCGTTAAATCACCATTCAACAGACTCAAGCCACCACCACACTGCCGTCTATTGGACTGCAGTAAGATACTAACTTTTCAATCTGCTACGTTACTGACTGTACTGAAAAACGCGAGCGGCACGACAAAATACAATAGAATTATATTGTATTTTGTCGCGCCGTGCGATGTGATGTGACAGATATGATAAACATGAGTTCTGGGCTGCGGCGCGGCCAGTAAACACCAGCATTGAGTGGCCACGATCAGCTCCGGTGGCTGTAACACAGGCTTTAATGTGCCGAAGTGCAGATCAGCTCTAGTCTCTAACGTCACTGAATCTGCTGTTAAAATGAACCATCCATTCATCATATCATCATGCAAAACAAAGAATTAGAATCATTGTAATGTGACGATCAAATATAGGTGCGGGTGGGTGGCGGGCGGATAATTTGAAGCAGCGGACTCGGGTGAAGTTTGAGCTCATCCGCGCATCTCTACACTACACTGACCTGGGTCCAGTAGCAAACAATGGAGCGCGCTCTGCTGGACAAACTAAGTAATTACACCATTCAGAAGCATTTAATCTGCGTTATATGTTCTGTAAAAAAAAAAAAATCATATCGGCGGCATATTCGCCGATACCGATATATCGGCGACAGGCTCATATCAGCTCCTGGTTACATTCGTCTTAACAGTTGATGGCTGAGTCTGCTCCCCAGAGTATGCAGCAAAAACCCTAGAACGGCAAACAACTCCACTGGACCGTCCATACATTTTCCCCTCTATAACTGAGCTTGGTCTAGGGCAGGGCTGCCCAACCCTGCTCCTGGCGATCGACTGTCCTGCAAAGTTTAGCTCCAACTCTAATCAAAGGCACGTGCCTTTGATTAGAGTTGGAGCTAAACTTTGCAGGACAGTCGATCGCCAGGAGCAGGGTTGGGCACCCCTGGTCTAGGGCTTCCTCAAGTTTAAAGGGCTGAGCTATTCGTACCTGCTGTCATAGGCGGTCAGGAGTCAATCCTCGGATGAACGCATCCAGAACCAATGCGTCTCTCACGTGTTCGCTGAATGTTTCTTTGTTTATGATTTAACCTGTTAACCTGCACCCCCCATTTTGGGACTCACAGCTGAAAATGACCTACCTAACTTAAAATGTTAACAGTTCTTGACTTCAGTGTGCTAAAACCACAATTTTGGTGTCTTTTGGAGACCCTTTGGGCTTTACTATCCATCATCCAGAGTTGATAATGCTCAAAAAGATCAAAAGTTATAGACACTGAAGTACCTTGAAATTTTTTTTTTTTAATTTCATATAAAAATACATGAAATCAGTCTTGGAGCAATCCAGAAAAGAAATGGGTTGAAAGTCACATGTCTCATGAGTTTATATTTCAGATCTGAAGAAGATACCATAAAAAATTTGATTCCTGCAACCATTTTTCTGAGACTGTCTAGCCCCCCCCCCCCTGCTCAAAAAGATAAAAAGTTATAGACACTGAAGTGCTTTGAGAAAAATTGTACCACACTGATATTTTTTATATTTCATATAAAAATACATGAAATCAGTCCTGGAGCAATCCAGAAAAGTAATGGGTTGAAAGTCACATGTCTCATGAGTTTATATTTCAAATCTGAAGAAGATACCATGAAAAATTAGATTCCTGCAACCATTTTTCTGAGACTATGTCCCCCCCCCCCCTCCTTGTTTGAGGAAAAATATTTACCAAATGTATTGAAGGGTTCTACAAACTATTTTAGTCATTATACATACTACTGCATAGTTTTTCAATTATAAAACAATAGACAGAATCTCATCTAAGTGATTTATTTGAGCACTAGAAAAATACAATAAGAATATTTTTTGAGTAATAAAAAGAAATAATAATAAAAAAAGGAATTAACTATGTATGCCAAGTACATACTGTGATTGCTAAACATACAGCATTCACACTGATAGCTGCTCATACAGTCAGTAATCACATGCTGATGTGTGGTCATACAGATGGTAATCATGCAGATACAGCCACATTTCCCACAAAACACACACATATATAAAAAATGTCAGGAAAAAAAAGAATTATTTATGCAAAAAAACGATCGCTAAGCTACGCCCCCATCAGATGACAGGTGCATCACAGCATGCACCACGAGCCATCACGAGAGAGCGCCAGTATCTTTTACTTTTTTTTAGTGGATGGTCTCATTCTGTTTGTGACACTGTATGCTACAAAACCATGTTGCTTTATACTACCAAGATGCAGTTTTTTTGAGTGCAAGTTATTCCATAACGGATTCAAACAATAACTGTCCCCGAAGAAATGAGACGTAAACAAAGGAATTACCATCAATATTACAACGTTATTGCTTCATTGGACTAAAAGTACTCTATGGGATGTTGTTCAGTGGACCCTTACCTTTCTAACTAAACTGGCATTTACAGCTGTGGATGCGTTTATGACTTGTTATTATGATGAATCTGGTACGTACTGCGTTTTGATTATGCATGTTTGGATGCGTACTGCTTACATAAATTTAGCAAATACATTCTTTATAAGCTTTCCATTGAAAAACAGCGATCTATCGTTGATGCTTGAGGCTTATACCTTTAGAATGATATATAGTTTGTCAAGATTAATTATGTCTTTTTTCATTTAATCTATTTGTAAACATTGACACGTGCAAACAAAGAGCGTTCAGTGCGCCGGCGTCCAGGAGCGGGTTAGTTTAAAAAAAAAAAGAAGTCATGTTCTTAGCTAATTTCTTCTAAAAGAGCAGTTTACTCCTCTTCAGCGGACACGATGAGCTACAGGAGATGCATTGAGCCATGTGACAGGTTCATCGCAGGAGGAGACACTCATGACAGGTACGTGCAATGTTTGGGCCTACAACATGCCCAAGCGGCGCTTAGCGGCCTTTCTGATTGTCGACACTTTGATAGCCTATGGCTAAAAGCACTGCCCTCGAGGTTCACGGCCTTCTCAAATAAAGTAGGCCTCGCGTCTAACCCCCGCTATCCCGTTTCTGCGGTTGCCAAGGCGCCGCACAAGACGGTCGCTTGGGGTGACGCATGCGAGCCGAGGCGTTTAGAGGGCGAGTCAACGGAGTTTTCTCCTTTTCTCTCGCTCTCTCCAGGCCATGTGCAAGCGCTCGAAGAGCACTACGGGGACCCCGTGGTCTTCGTCAATGATAATTTGCGGCCTACCCCGGAAGCTCGCGATGCGATGTCTTTCGGTTGTATGCCGTATGATGAAGACGTGCTGTCCACAGCAGCCTCCGATTCGGAGGATTTATTGGGCGAACTGTGCCGTTCTCTCCCTCCGAGTGGACAGGAGAAACGTACCTCGCCATCTTACAGCGAACTGTTAGATGTTGTAACACGCGCTGTGGATAAGTTGGGTTTAGAGTGGGATAGCGAGCCGGTGCAAATTCAGTCCTAGTCCTCATTCAAACTGGATGATCGATTTTTTTTTGTCCACCCGCGCTCCGTCTCAGCCCCGTAGGCCTCTCCCCTTTTTCCAAGACCTCCACTACAAGGTTTCGGGGTCTTGGAAACAACCTTTTTCGGCGTGTATCACAAATGCTGCTGATTTCGCCACGGTTTCTAAAATGGCGGCTCAC